GATCTTTTGCTATGGCTGTTGCTTAGGCCGTCTGTGTGCTAAAAGTGACTAAAAATGCCTGCAGTTAGGGTAGGTTACTAACTTTTGCTGCCTTTTTGGAAGTCAATTCTAATCAACTGTGCATATAGACACTATTCCTCTATCATTCTGGTTGTGTGTATGGTGTACTTGCTGGGGCTACTTCCAAACAGAGAAATGCTCTCACATGAACCTCAAATCTAGGTTGCTTACAATCTAGAGTTCTGATGAATATTAGACAATAAAAAATATAAAAGGCACAATGGGAGACCAAATCAAAGGCCGATCTAGTCCAGTATTCTTTCCACACAGCTCCAGCTTGATGACTTCAGGAAGTTCATGAGCAGAATAGGAGTGCAATACCACCTTTCAGTTAATGATCCCAGCAATCTGTGCACCGAGGCATATGCAAGTCATACTAGTAGCCACCTGATAGACAAATTCATTCAGGATAAGGCTAATCTCTTTTACTGTCTCCTGTGCATTTTCTATGAACAAAGACTAGGCTTTGTTTCAGAACTATTTTTTACTGAGACATAGAAGTATGTGCAGATTTAATTAACTGAAAGATATGCAAGTAATTGACTAAAGTTTATTTAACTGGTGACAGTCCAAATATGATCTTACCTACCCATGTTCAGGATAAACTTTAAAGGAAGTCATGCTTCCTTTTTTTCCTAAAAAATATTTAAGCAGCTGTGGGCAACTTGTGACCCTCCAGATGTTTGGACCTACAATTTACTTTATTTCTCATCTTAAATAGACCCAATATTTATTCTGGCATAAGCTTTCATGGACACTGCTGTTCATCTGATACATGAAATGTTAACCTCAGATGTTTTTAAATATCTGCCCATCAACCTGCTGTTAAATGAACAACTGCAGTGGCCAGTTGGAAAATCAACAACCTGCAAAGCATTACTCTCTATCTCACAGCTTGGTTCTTATCATATTTACTCAGAAATCCTAATTCTACATAAGTATAATTTAAGCAATACATACTTCATTACATTCATTACTGCCTAGAGTGGGAGTGCTTTTAAGCTATCCAGTTCATACAAAAGTGTGCTTATCTAGGGTTGCCAGCTTTTATTCCTATGAGCCTCCTCTGCCTTTCAAAATACTGTGGGAAGCAAAAATGCAGCAGGTGAAGCTTTTCTTAGCATAGAAATAAGAAAAGTGTATTGACTTTCTGCTTGCTGAGTAGCTGTTCAAGACAAAGAAGTCCTATCAAAAAAGGTTTAACAAGGTTGGGTCTAGTCTAGTGGATGCATTTTCACTGAAAGCTTGTTATGTAACAGGTTAATCTGCATATACTACACCCACTTTGCATCTGCTTGTTACTGTACACATTCAAGGGGAATGTTACAGCCTCAAGATGTTGTACTAGCCTGACCTGGGGTAACTCAGCTCAGCTCCACATGTTATCACCAGAAGAACATCTATGTTGTCATGCCTGTTTGAGAAGGAGGGACATGTGAGATAGCCTAGTATTGGAAAAATGACTCCTCCTTTTAGTCCATTTCAGTTCACATCATACATGATATGAAGGGGCTATTCCATTATTTTACTCTATAATTATCTAGTGCTAATGGTAAAGACTTGGATTACTCCCTTAAAGGTCATGAACTGGTTTTGAAAGTAGTGATAGATGGAAATCTAAACTTAGCTCTTACATTCTGCTTTCTGGGCCATTAACAGACATTCTCATTGCATTTTTATCATGCTGATCATAAGGACTAGCACTCTGCTTTTTTAAAAGGCTGTTGTAAGCAGCCACCACAGGAATCTGAGCGGGCTTAGCACTACAGGGTAATAAATAAAACAGTCTCCATCATGCAGGTTTGTGAACAACATTGTGGTGCAAAGACTAACATGTTACCAAGAGGAAGAAAAATAATGGAAAAGAATTCAAATAAGGAAGAAAAGAGGCCATATTCAAACAGTTCCCTCTCAATTTGTTCCTCTAAGCAAGAGTTCCAGTTCCCGAGACTTTAGTCCTATGCATATGTGCTTGAGAGTAAACCTACTGACCTCAGTGGGACTTGCTCCCAGCAAACATGCCCAGGAATAGCATGTAAGTGTTTTCACTGTTCTGCACCTGATGTGTTTATCAAGCAAATTAACACCATGACATGAAATAGAAGAGTAGCAAAGTCACTTCCAAGGTCAAGGTACAGAAGGCAGCTGATGGCTCTGGGGAAACAGGACCACATCCAAGAAAAATTGGATGTTGGGTATCTTCCTGCAGCTGGGAAGTTGTCTAATTTCATAAAGAGAGCCAATAAGGTGGTATCCTGAAGCAGAAAGCAGCACACTGCAGAAACCCTCTCTCTTCTCCTGTACTTGGGAAGCCCTGCAGTGATAGAATGAAGTCACAGCTTTAAAGAGGAGAACATTCTGTCCCAGATTATCAAGGACAGAAGTATCTAGCATTACATCATGTCACTCATAATTGGCTACTGCTTTATTGTCACCTATGCTCTCTACAGCTTTACCTCATTCAGTTTTCAAGTGCTGATGCAATAAAGGGTTCTCCCACCATGCTGAATTTTAGGAACAGATGTGAGCCAAGAGAGCATTGTTTGAGTGTTTTTCACCGTCTGGTATGAACCATAGTGCACTGCATTATAAAATAAACCCAGACAGACACCAACCAACTAGATTAATATCATCTTGTTTTCCCAAGGCACTGCTAGCATGTCTGCAAGACTCATCTCATTCTCTCCTGCCACCCCTCCTCCAACCCTTCCCAAAGTCATACGCAATCAAGCATCCAGAGTAATATGGGCAGCAGCACACTGACAATACAAGTGCAGCATTCCCAGCCAGATGTGCCTTCCAAATGTGCTGAATTATAATGCTCATCCTTTCTGGCCAGCATGGATAGGGTGATAGGAGTTGTAGTCCAGCACATCTGGAGAATGCAAGACTAGGGAGAGGGTGAGAAATAAATGACTCTTGCACAAGAGAAAAACTCCTTAGGGAGGGGTTATAGCTCAGCAGGAGAGCACAGGCTTTGCACACAAAGGGACCCTAATCTGAACTCTGGTGTCATCAAGAAGAGCTGAGAAAGACTCCTGCCAGGAATCCCAGCACTCAGTAAAAGTTTAAGCACCATTCTTGGGGAGGGGGAATAAATTGAATAAATAAATATAAATGCTGAATTAGAATTCTCAGAAACTCTAACAATTGAACATACTGGCTGGGGCTGATGGAAGTGGAAATCCAGAACATCTGGAGGGCATCAGATTCAGGAAGGCTGCCTTGAAAGTTGCTGCCATTCAATGTGCATAATATTAGGCCACACAGAGAAACAGCTGCATTGAATGTTCCTCCCTCTTCTAGGTTAATCCAATTTCTTCAGGGGTGATGAAAGGCCAGCCAAGCTAACCAAACAAATTCTCCTCTCCCCATTTCTATTGAAACAGAAGCTTCCCGTTTATAATGTCTGTTTGCCTTCCTGGCCTATTGTGGGAAGGTAGAGAACAGCATCTCATTTTCATTATCCATTCTTTCCTTTTCCAGGCAAACTCCCACAGGAGACAACTCTTCCTAGCTTTGTGTTTGCAGCTTGTTCTCTTAATCCCAATGACCTTCTTGCATATGCTACAGGCGCAGAGGCAGCCATGGCAAAGGTGTCACAAGATAAAGTGACCTCCCACACTACAGCCATTCCAAAGCAGAGAGGGAGAAAGAAAGAGAAAACAACCCAGCCAGTTGCTGACTAAGCCCATTCACTCCATCACACAAATATGCTCTTATCTAAAATCTGCCACACATTAAAGTGGAGGTGGAAATAAATTTAAACTGAATGTGGGGGTGGGGAGTTTTCAGCCCTCTTCTCTACCTCTTCCCTGTGCCTTACCCTCGATCTTCCCTAGAAACATGCAGAATTAAGCAGCTCACAAGTTAAGCGAAATTAAGGGTGGGGTTAGGAAAAGGCAGATAATTCATAATCACTTTGGTAATTCCCTCTTCCAACTTCCCCTCCAAGTTTCCCACCACTCCCTATGTTTTATGTAAACTCTATTTTTTCACATTTTGAATAGACAACAGTGTAAAGGGTGGAGCAGCAATCGAGCCCCTTCTTCTAAAAAGTGGAGGAAGTGGTTTGGAGGAAATAAGGAGAAAGGGAGCCTCCAGAAAGAGAGGCGGGGGAGCGGTTTCTCAATCAAAAACATTTTACCCTGGTAGATCTTATGACAGCAGAAAGGAAAGCGGGAGTGGATCATGACATTCCGCCAGCCGGGCTTGCTTTACTCCATGCCTTCTCCCGCTTGCCTGCCGCCCCCAACACACGCTCAGCGCCACCAATTTACAAACACTGCGCCTTCGCTGCAACGCCAACGACCTGCTAGGAAGGAAATCGAGAGGGCAGAGGCAACCCGAGCCAGCGGTTCCATGAGACACCGCCGCAGCGTCGCTCCCATCTTAGACGTCACTTTGCGGGGAGGCACCGGCGCTGTCTTCTTCACCCCACACTGTCCCTACTTGGACGTCAACCTGCAATCTCTTTCTCCCAACTGGAAAAATGGGGGGAAGAGAGAAGAGCCACTGGATTGTTCTCCACCTTGAGAGGTGTGCGTAAAAAGGCGGCCAAAGGCGCTGCAAACACAGTCCTAATCCGTTTTCTGCATGAGCTCTTTCTCACGCACACTGGCTGGGAAGGGCATTATTCCCTTTCCTCCAAGCTCGATGAATGTCAGATATAGCCTGCCCTGGGGCGAGAGAACTCGCCCTTAAGCACCCGGGGGAGGGAGCAATATAGGGATCTGCTCAGCCTCTTCCAGTCAAGCCTCACCAGGGCCGTCGCTTTTCCGCAAATGATCTCTCCTCCTCCTCCCCATCCTCTGACATGTATTTTAAACGGGGCAGCAGATAGCTTCGCACGTGTTTGGGCGAAATACAGGTATGTAAAACCGGCCCTCGTAATCCAGACACCCACCCCATCCAAACAGCTCAAGATGCCTCCGCCTTACCCAAGAAACCATCCGGAGGATCGTGTGAGGTTGCCGGAGGAAGGTCTGAGGGTCGAAGGCGCCTCCGGCTTTGCCCGCTCCATACGCGCCCGCTTCCATCCTCGGAGCTGCCCCGTAGCAAGATCCGCCGAGCTGCCGCCGCCGCCGCCGCCGCCGCTTCTCGCAGCTCTCCTCCTCGGCAGCTAAAGTTTATCGCACGGGCAGGGGGATGGTAAGAGAGAAGAAAACCAGCGCAGCAGTGAGCGCACGGCGGCGTCAACGGAGGCAGCGCAGAGGCCAACGCAACACCAGGGGGGCCTCTGAGGGACCGCTAGCCGAGCATGGCCGGCCGGGCGTCGCTTCCCTCCGTCACCTCCTGCTTGACTTCCCCGGCTAGAGGGGATACACAAACGCGGTCGCGGCCAGGGCGGCAGCGGCGGGCTCCGGTTCAGCAGTAAGTAGTAAGCAAGCAAGGGGCGCTCCCGCTTAGCAGCAGTCCAGGGACGGGCGCGAGCGCCGGAGACCAGAGCGCGCGGACGCCCCGCCTCGGCGCCCTGCCGCTTGGGAGGGGGCGGGGCGAGGGGAGCGTGGCCGGGACGCCGCAGAGCTCCTCTGGACAACGGCCTCTTCGCAGGCCTCTTCAGGCGCGGGACCTACTTTCCACTCAAGCAGTGCATTGTGGGGCCCAGTTAGGTACCATCCTAATCCTATGAGCACTAGACGTACATAGAACTGCACTATTATCAATTAGTTAATATTACCACCTGCCAGGAACATCCAATTGTGGGACTTGACCTACCAGCGAAGAACCAGTGCCTGAAAACGAAATAGATTCTGCCAACAAATGTCAGGGTTAAAGCCTTTTTTTAAGGATTTACAGCCTGCCTTTTTACAAATGCCTGGAGGCAGCTGACAAGATTGGAAGAAGAGAACATTGAGCCAAGGAAGCACTCATCTGTCACAAAAGTTAAAAACAGCAGGAAAAATGCATGGTAAAAGCACTTCTAGAGATTTGCTGGGTATTTTTGTGTGCTTTGTGCAACATCAGTGATGCCACAAATTCTGCCTAATGTGTACCCATGACAATAGTACAATGCCTGCGGGTAAACAGCAGGTTAGCTTTGGTTCAGCAATAGTGATTAACCACTTAAGGAATCTTCCATGATTCAGCAGGTACCTGTTGGAAATACCTTGGCCTGAGAGGATATGAGATTGTTCTCATTATATAATCTTACATTTATATCCCACTATTTTCTCCTTGCAAGGAACCCAAGGCAGCTGACATAGTTCCATTTTATCCTCACAACAACCCTGCGAGGTAGGTTGTGTGACTGGCCCAAAGTCATCCAGTGTGCTTCATGGTGCAGTAGGGACTTGAACCTGGATCACCCAGGTCTCCAATCTCCATGCTAACCACCATACTGGCTCTGGAACAGAAGAGATGCAACAGACTGGGCCTGAACAGAAAAGAAAAACTGCAGAAAATAAGAGGAGCAGGCTGGCAAAGAACAGGCCACACCAATTGGACAATAGATGCAGCTTATATTTTAGTTCCATCCATCTGGGCAACTGAATTTGAACAGCAAACTTCCCCTCTCCTCCCTCCTTGACTGTTTCCTTTCTTGTAATTTGTTCTGGGAGTCTTGAATAAAAACCAGTACTTCAATGCTATGAAGAAATAATTTCATCACCAGTTCGCTAATACCTGTTCAGGATTGCAAAACCAGTTAGCCAATTAGGAACATGCAACAGTAAAAGAATATGTATTTTATCTTCTACAACTAAAAGGGAAGAACACATCTGCATCCTCCAGCTTAAACACAGGTTAAAAATCAGGTGAAACACCTTATAAGGGCTGACTCTCTTTAAAATCTTAAAATTCAATTGATCAAGAGCAACCACTGAAAATTACTTACTGTATGTCCTTATTTTATGAAACTGTTCACCCAGCCATATGCTTCAGGTGCTATTACTAACAGATCCTAGAGCTTGTGTTACTAAGAAAGGAAGTAAGCTTTAAGGTACTTGCAAGTGACTAGGTATGATACACAAGCTTCTGCCTTCCTTCCAAACCACCTTGGAAAAGTATGACCCTCTTAAAGAGCTTGAAGTTGCCTGCCCGGACTGCTGGAAATAGCCATGAAAATGCAAGGTGAATTAATAAGTAGAAATGTCACGAGCCTAGGAACTTGTGTAATGACCTTGGGAATACTAGCATGCATTGATTGATCTTATAGACTGCTTCAATAGTCCTACTGGATTCCCTAAGTGGTTCACAATTAACTAATTATTAACAGGTCATCATCACTAATTAACAGGTCATCTTTTCAACAAGAAGCCAGGACACTGTTTTGCAGAAAGAGGTGTGCTAATTGTTGCAACATTTGGGAAAGAAACATTACTTGATTTGTCAGCCATTCACTGAATTTTCAGCAAGACAGTAGGGTAGAATTGGGAGAGGACAGGAAAGGTCAATCCTAATCTGTCCTAGACACAAAATGAATTTCAGAAAGTCAGGCTGGGCAAGTGATGTGCTGTGAAACAAAGCTGTGGTTAAATTTTATTATGTTCAGAATGAGCATCTGTTCATTAAATGTCCTATACATCCACTTTCATTGATGCAGAAACAGACTAAAGTTACCCCAGCACAGAGTTGCCAAATTTTATTGACTTTGCTCCTGTGTCTTTAATTATAGCAGGCTGACAGACAGACATTGAGCAGGAGAATTTCCCCTCATCACTAATCTGTGTACTAGAAAAATCCACCCAGACCCCTGTTAATGCACATCAGCATGCCTAGTATAAGCTGGCAGCCCAATCCTTACCACATGATTTCATGTGTGATGTTCTAAGGTTATCCTGAAAAGGGCAACTTCTACTCAACCACTGGAAGCTCGGATACAATTCCTACCAATATCTGATTATGTGCAGCTGATTATGAATTAATTCAAATATTTTCTAGAGATTATAAAACTGCACCGCCTTGGAATTTAGATTCTGAGAAAATGTATGGTAATTCACTTAGGGAACAACTATGCAGATGAAACTGACCACAAAAGAAAAACTTCGGAAATCACTTTTCAAAATTAATTGAACGTTAGCCTTCAAATATGACAAAACTTCCAAATTACAAGAAGTGACCTTTCAGGTCAAATGCTTACCATTCATATAGAAAGTTAAGTAAACTGAATTTGTGGCTAGAACACCTGTTTTAATGCTTTGAGTACAAACTGCTCTGTCCTTGCTAAAATAGCCATGACTTGGTACGTTAAGAGGGGGCGAAGGGAGCGGCATATAAGCTGTCTAAATAAATAAATAATGCTCGAATCTCACTGCTTTTGTATCATAATATGCATGAACTGACTACGCTATTCTTCCAGTGCCATTTTTCCTTTGCTGACTATCATAATATGCAGTGCAGATTGCTGGGTGAAACATGATGGGATGTTGCCAATAGTAGAAAGTCCATTTAAGCACTCAGGGCCTGCCCACAGCACTGTAGCACCACCAACAACACAAACCTGTGTTGTTGAGAGCCAGTGTGGTGTGGTGGTTAAGAGCATGGGATGGGGATTCAGGCGACCTGAGTTCGAGTCCCCGCTCAGCCATGGAGCCAACTGGGTGACTTTGGGCCAGTCACAGGCTCTCAGCCCAACCTACCTCACAAGGTTGTTGTTGTGGGGATAAGATGGAGGAGGAGAGATGATGTAAGCTGCCTTGAGCCCTTTGTAGGAAAAAGGCAGGATATAAATCCGAAAAAAAAAAAAAACCTTTCTGTATGTAGGTATCAGGTTGTTGAACAAAAAAACCCCACAGGCACAATTCCTGCATCCATAACACCTGTGGCCACAGAGATACAGTGAAAGTCACAAAGCAATATTTTTACAAGAGAAGATAGAAGGAAGTTTTGGGAGCACATATACCTTTTGCATAAGTTTGAAAGTCCACTCCTCTTCCCAAAAAGCAAAGTAAAGCCTGCCCTACCAACCATAGCTGCCCCCCTACCAGTGCGCCACTGTGAGCATTCCTGCTCCCATGTTTCATGGCCACAAGTACACAACTGGAGATTCCAAGTTATTTTCCCTGTTAAATATGTGCTGAATTTGTGTGTTGGGGTGGTGTGTCTTGTGGAGTCCATTCTTCATTCAAAAAGCAGAATAATGCTTGCCCTCTTGAGCATGCCTACCTTCCTTTCACCCATACCTTGAAAGATCACTCACAGATTTCAAGCCTCTGCTCTGTTAAGCCTCTACTCTATTAAGTATGCGTTGAATTTGGGGCAGCATTCAAGTACAGTGTGGTTATACCCATGTGCAACCATCCCCTTAGCAATATTTAAGAGATCCACTATTCCCCCAACCCTCCATATAACTAGCATATCCAGGGTTTCCTGCTATTCTGATAAAAACCCCTTTGCCACTGGCTATTTCACATAAGGTTAGACTTGGCAAAAGTAAAACTGAGCCTAACACAGTTTTGCCAAAAATGCATTGCTCAGGTACAGAGCAACAAGAATAAAGGTACACCTCCCATGAGAAAGGAGTACCACCTTCCAAGGATTAATACTGCTGTGGAACTTCTGTATTTTTAGAACACAGTAGTACTGTTGTGGGACTTTAAAAAAACAAACAAGATTTGCAGTGAAAAGAGGGGTGAGAACTAGTAAGATGTGGACTGTTTTTAAATCTGTTGACAATGTCCTGTGTTCTGCATGTGAAAACACAGAAACAAACCATTACAATTGCACAAGAAAAGCCTTGTGTGGAAAAGCCCTTGGGTTAGTAGCAACAAGCTCTATCAAAGATTTTGTAGGGAACAGGCAGTGTCAAACTACAAACAAAGGCAAAACCTGCCTGATTATCAGAGGCAGATGCCTGTGTGTATCAGTTGGGGGGGAGCATGAGCAGAAGGGTGCTATTTATACTGTTAATTTATATTATTTTAACGAAGTTTATTTATGTCTGTGAGCCGCCCTGAGGCTTCGGCGAATGGGGCGGCATAGAAGTTAAATAAACAAACAAACAAACAAACAAACAAATAAATAAATTGCATGTAAGTCCTACCCGTGGATCTCCCCGCAAATCCTACTTGTGGCTTAGCCACTGTGTCTGCAGCATACTGGACCAGATGGACCCTTGCCAGGATCCAGCAAGACTGTCTTGCATTCTTCTATCATAAATATTTGCATATTCCTTAGATCCACATAAGATCATAAGGTAAGCACAGAACAGTATAACATTATGCCCCGTCTATGAGATTGACAGATTAAAGAACAACTTCAGTCTTTGTCATCCACAGCAACTAGTAAGAAAATTGTGCTCAGGATAGTGCATTATACTCATACACTTGCCATGCATGCATATGAAGTGGGATGGCTGAAACAGAGGTTGCGCTAAAAAGTGGCTGCAGTGCAGCCCATCTAAACCAATATAAGAGGGATCACCTTGTCTGGGTATACCTTGCCCTCAGCATTATCTTCCATTTGGCAACAGAAGAATTAATAATTGATCACAAT